CATTCTTTGTACTTGTCCATACCACATGCTTGTATGACTTTATGATGCTGATTTATATGTTCTGAATACAGGCAATATGGTAAAGAGTAGATGACCTAAACTTGGAATTCAAAGTTCTGCATTTTAATTTAGATCAGCTGTATGATTCTCAGTTTCTCCAAAAAATAAAAATTAGGGCACTAAATCCTAAATGTAATTTTTTAATTATGTAAAACATTTTTCAAAGTAAAAATTTGTTTTTAAAAAGTTTTATAGTTTCTAAAAATCACTGTATTTAGTTGATGGCAGAAAGTTCTCAATGTGAGGAGGTAGGGGTTATAGTAAAGCTTACATTTGCCTAGTTACTTGGAAGTAGTGTCCAGAGTTAGAAGCTATCTGTTATTATGACAAGAACCCTTAATATTATCCCTTAGTTATCACAAATTTGGACATAACTGCCTGGAAATTGGCTCTTACCTTCTTCCCTAAACCAGTTCTCAATTGCTGCCTAGTGATCAGAAACTGGCTTTTCCAGTTCAATGTGTAGTTAGTTGTGAGCTGCATAAAGGTCACTATCAATGTTTTCGAGAGTTGTGTCCATAAAAGCTGTCTAAAAGTTTGTTTTTCATTGGTTTCCCAATAATACAGTGCTACATGTATGTAGTATTGCACGCGTAGGGAGAGGGGCATAATTTAGGAAAGGCAGTTCCCTTCCCCTGAGAGCAATTCCTGGGGACATTCTCAGCTGTGATCCCTCAGCTAGTAACAATCTCACCAGAGAGAATAAAGATGTTGAAGAAGCATCTGTCAACCTACTGCAGTGTCCAAACAATGTTCTTATGTAGTTGTAATGTCTCTTATCATTTCATTAGATAATTAGAGGTTCAGTATCTGCAATAGTAAAGTTCAGTAATACCGTCAAAGTATTAGGGCTGTAGATCTGACTGACACCTTAAAATAGTATCTTAAATCTGACTCCGTCTTTTTTTGTCTGTTTTTCTCACTGTTTTTTAAAAATACATTTTTATTAATTTCAGAGAGGAAGGGAGAAGGACAGGGGGAGATAGAAACATCCATGATGAGAGAGAATCATTGATTGGCTGCCTCCTGCATGCCCCCTAATGAGGATCGAGTCCACTACCTGGGTATGTGTCCGTGACCAAATCAAACCTGGGACCCTTCAGTCTGCAGGCTGATGCTCTAGCCACTGAGCAAAACTGGATAGGGCTTTCTCACTGTTTTTACATTGTTTTCTGCTCTCCCCCTTTTCTCCTGTAGTCAGTTGCTCTTTTTTTGAGAGAGAGAGAGAGAGAGAGAGAGAGAGAGAGAGAGAGAGAGAAAGAATAGAATTACAGATTTGTTGTTCTACTTATTTATGCATTTGTTGGTTGTTTCATGTTTGTGCCCTGACCAGGGATAGAACCCACAATCTTGGCATATCAGTATGACACTCTAACCAACTGAGCTACCCAGCCAGGGACATAATATTTTTTTTAATTAAACCTTTTATTTGAGATCATGTAGGTTCACATGTGGTTCAAAGAAATAATGTATAGACATTCAGTACACCCTTTGCTCATTCCTAAATGATTTCATGAACTGTACAAATTGCACAATAAAAATCACAGGGCTATGGAGTAAAAATGATTTGCAGCACACATTAAAAACTTTACCAGTGACATAAAAAAGAGATATGAAACTAATCAAAATGGTAGCAGTTTTACCTATGTTACATGGTCAAGAATAGCATAAATACTATGATAAATAGACCTCTTTACCTTGAAAAAGACCTGAAGTTTGCTGATGGAATGGGTGACAAAAAGGTTATAGCTGTGAGTTATTGTGTGATGGTGGAAGGAAGGGTATCCGAAATCAGACAGAAATTTATAACACAGATGCAGAGTGTTGGTCTCTAAGCACACAGTGAACTGAGGTCAGTGCTAGATGTTTGGGGAAGGTGCATGTGTGTATTTTGTGTATTTCTACATTGATTGGTTCAGGTAGATGCAGTTTTCTGTATTTAGCCAGTGATTCTCAGAGATGAAAAAATGTATAAGAGGACACATAATTTACATATGTTCAAATTGTTTCTTAATATATCTATTGTGTTGGAACAAATTTATATTTTCCAAACAAGCATTATAGTGGAATTCATTGTACTTTTTTGTTGTTTCTTATTTTGTTAGTTCAACTTGGTTGGGCTCTTTTTCTCTTAGCACCATTTCTGTCTAATTGTTGCACTATTTTTGCCACAGAACTTCTTCAATGTGGCTAGGCTGTAGGCATGCTTTTGAAGACATGGGTCACACTTGCAGCCCCCTCAGAAAGGGAAAAGTCAATTTCCCTTTATTTAATTCTTTTCAGTCTTCTTTCCATAGGTTGTGTGCACTCATGACTTTTATTTTGATAGCAATATAGATATCAAGACTTTTCTATACTTTTGTTCTAGCTAAGTCACATTCACAGTGGGGACAACCTTCTTTAAAAGAAAATGTTGCATCAGTTCTTCATCTGAGTGTCATTGAAAATAAAACTTCCAGATGCACACAGGATCTTGAGTAAAAATATTACATGTTTTCTATCCCCTTACTTATTATTTAATATCTAGAGGCCCAGTGCATGAATTCATGCACATTGAAAGGAAATTAATTACAAGAAATATTTTAGAGGCTGGGGAGAGACCACAGGAGGGCTCCAGTCGTGTCCGGCCCGTCTTGCCCAATCCTGATCGGCTGGACCCTAGCAGCAAGTTAACCTACTGGTTGGAGCATCTGCCCCCTGGTGGTCAGTGCACATCATAGTGACTGGTCTAGTGGTCGACTGAGTGGTCGACCGATTGGTCAGACACAGCATATTAGGCTTTTATATAGATAGATAATATACTGTTACATAAATGTAATATTACTTCTAATATACTAGAGGCCCAGTGAATGAAATTTGTGCACTTGGGGGGGGGGAGTGGTCCCTCAGCCCAGCCTGTGCCCTCTCACAGTCTGGGAGCCTTTGGGGGATGTCCAACTGATAGCTTAGGCCTGTCCAGGGAGAAGGTCTAAGCCAGCAGTCAGACATCCTTAGTGCTGCCGCTGTGCTCACCAGCCATGAGCCTGGCTCAGGTGTTCTGGCTCAGGTCTTCTGGTCGTTCCACTGTTAGGTCGATTTGCATATTAGCCTTTTATTATATAGGATCTTATATATAACTAGAGGCCTGGTGCATGAAATTCATGCACTGGGGAGGGGAACCCCTTAGGGGGTTTCTGCCTGCCAGCTTAGGCCTGCTCCGTGGAGATCAGGCAGGCAGACATCCCTCTCAGAGTCCGGGACCCCTTGCTCCTTACTGCCTGCCTGCTCGCTGCTCCTTACCACTCGGCTCACTGCACCTTAGTGCTTCCACTACCATGGAGGCAGGAGAGACTCCCACCACCACCGCTGTGCTCGCCAGACATGAGCCCGGCTCCTGGCTGAGCAGCGCTCCTCCTGTGGAAGTGCACTGACCACCAGGGGGCAGTTCCTGCATTGAGTGTCTGCCCCCTGGTGGCCAGTGCGCATCATAGTGACCAGTTGTTCTGGTTGTTTGCTCTAATGGTTGCTTAGGCTTTTATTATATAGATTTATACCATAATAGCTGCCACTTACTAAATGTTTAGCATATGCCAGTGTTTTGTGTGAAGCCATGTATAATCTATATATATAAAACCCTAAGTGACCGGTCAACCAATCGACCGGTTGATCGATCGACCAGTTGCTATGACACACACTGACCACCAGGGGAAAGATGCTCAATGCAGGAGCTGCCCTCTGGTGGTCAGTGCACTCTCACAGCGGGAGCGCCACTCAGCTGACCGGTAGGTGCCAGACTCTGGGCTCACAGCTGGTGAGTGCAGCTGCAGCAGTGTAAGCCTCTCCCACCTCTGCAGCAGCACTATTGAGCTACTACATCCCTCTGGGGCAGTGGTCGGCAAACTCATTAGTCAATAGAGCCAAATATCAACAGTACAACAACTGAAATTTCTTTTGAGAACCAAATTTTTTAAACTTAAACTAAATAGGTAGGTACATTGTTATTAACTTAATTAGGGCCCTAAGGCTATTAGTCAACAGAGCCAAATATCAACAGTACAACAATTGAAATTTCTTTTGAGAGCCAAATTTTTTAAACTTAAACTATATAGGTAGGTACATTGTTATTAACTTAATTAGGGTACTCCTAAGGCTTAGGAAGAGCCACACTCAAGAGGCCAAAGAGCCGCATGTGGCTCGCGAGCCACAGTTTGCTGACCACGGCTCTGGGGGATGTAGGACTGCCAGTTTCGGCCGATCCCCACAGGCCAGGGCCTCTAGTAAATATATAATACCTTTCAGTTCCAATGCCTCTGTTAACCTCTTTGAAAATCACTGATTTACCTTTATATTCTAACTAGGGGCCTGGTGCATGGATTCATGCACCAGTGGGGTCCCTCAGCCTGGCCTGCACCCTTTTGCAATCTGGGACCGCTTGGGAGATGTAGTAGTGCGTGAAGTGGCAGGCAGCCAGGGAGGAACCTGAGCCCAGGCTGGGTACCGCACCGCTCCTACTTATCCCGACCCCACTACACCTGCCACCACCTGCTCAGGCACGCAGGGGGAGTGTCCACAGGAGAGGCTATTGCCTGTCGCAGCTGCGCTTGCCACCCATGAGCCTGGCATCTGGCGCCCATATGTCAGCTGAGCAGCACTCCTGCTGTGGGAGTGCACTGACCACCAGGGGGCAGCTCCTGCATTGAGTGTTTGCCCCCTGGTGGTCAGTGTGCATCATAGCTACCAGCTGGTGGTCTACTCATCCGGTCATCCAGTCACTTAAGCTTTTACATCTATATGTGTCAATTAAGAGTTCTTGTCAGAAACTTAGTTTTCCTCTTAAATTAACTCTTTTAGAGTTCTTATTTCTCAGTGTGAAAGCCATATCCATTTCATTTCTTTAAGTTTGTGAATTGTAAATTGAAGATGAGAAAATCCTAAGCACTGTGTCTTTTCTTTTCCTGCAGCGTTTGTCCAATGGTTCTATAGATTCAACTGATGAAACTAGTCAAATAGTCGAACTACAGGAATTGCTTGAAAAGCAAAACTATGAAATGGCCCAAATGAAAGAACGTTTAGCAGCACTTTCTTCCCGAGTGGGAGAGGTGGAACAAGAAGCAGAGACAGCAAGAAAGGATCTCATTAAAACGGAAGAAATGAATACTAAATATCAAAGGGACATCAGGGAGGTGAGTGATTAATAACGCTTTCAGTCTTTACTTCCTGAATGCTATCTCTGAGATGCTTTTTTTCCATAATATCCCCTGTGGTAATACTCTTTTCATCTCAAAAGACCATTATCTGGGATGTATTGTGTTAGTTATGAAACTTGTTCAATAAGGCAAATATTGTTTACTTCATCATCCCTTTAAATGTGTGGAAAGGAATTTTGATATCAAGTCTCAAATATAATAAAAAAAATTACAGTTTTTAAAGATTTTTTTAAAATTGTGGAGCTGTTCATTTTAAACAACCCTTGATATGAATATGTATAGTGAATTGTTATGCTCTTAGATATGGGACTACTCAAAGACATTTTAAAATGTCCCCTCTCATTTTTGGATTTGTCTATGAACTACTCAAAGACATTTTAAAATGTCCCCTCTCATTTTTGGATTTGTGTCTATGAATGTGAATGTGTATGCTTGTATGTACTAACTTTCCTTTTTCTATACATTCAGTTATTGCTAGACTTAACATCATTTTATCTACTCTTTAAAGAGAGTACTGGAAAGTTACTACAAAAGACACAATGATATGGTTTATTTGTAACATTGCCAAATCATCTTACTAGCTAAGGTGAAAAGTTTAGAAGTTTTTCACTTTCTCACTTTATTCGATTAAAAAGATGATACTTGTGGAAATTTTATTTTGTGACTTACTGTTTTCGTTTTTACATATTCATTTAAATAATTTATTTTATATCTTTTGTATATACTTAACTATTTTTATTGAAGTTTAACCTACTCTGTGTAGCCAGTTCTTTTCTTCCCATTTTATCTTCAGTTTATTTTACTCATACTTTTGCCTTCACTGTCCTATCCAAACTGTTCTTACCTACATTGTTCTTGACCTCCCTGTTGCTGAATCTAGGGACCACTTCTCAGTTCTCTGAAGCACTTGATCCAGTTCTCACTCCCTGGGGCACTTTTTCATTTGGCTAATAGCACACTGCACTCGCCTGATTTCCCTCCAGCCTGTTTACTACTCCCATTTCAGCCGCCTTTACTGGCTCAGCTTCCTGCCCAGTCATGGAGTGTCATCCTTTCTCCATCTACCTTTACTCCCCGAGTAAGTTCATGCATTCTCATGGCTCCGAAAACCACCTAGTGACTTATGACTCCCAATTTATATCTCCAGCTTATCCTTCTCTCCTGATTTCCTGATGCCTGTGTCTAAATGTCCCATGGGTCTCTCAAAATTAGATTTCTCAATATTGTTTTCCTGGTATTCCCCTAGGAAGCCAGGCTTACTCGAAGTCCTACACATCTGAACCGATGGCAACCCTATTATTGTTGCTCAGGCTAAAATCCTTGGAGCTGTCCTTGGTACCTCTCCTATTTATATTGCAAAGTCCTTGCAGTACCTACAAGCTATAGATACTGTCTGACCTCTTAGAACTCATCTTTTAATCTTTCATTTTATCCCTATCTGTTCAGTTAAGGGGGCCTCTTAAACAAGCCAGGCCTATTCTTTTACGCCTTCTTTTACCTCTGTCTTTTGCTCAAATGTTTTCTCAGTGAAGTGTTCCCTATCCATACTATTTACACATACACACCCTCCCTCTTTTCTCATTTTTAGTCACACAGCATTACTGCACCTGAAACAATTCATATTTTACTGATTTACTTGTTTATCATATGCCTTTCAACTAGGCATAAAAATTTATAAGGGATGTAATTTTTTGTTTTGTCTTGTTTTGTTTACTCCTCCATTTGAATCACTTGCATAACTATTGAGCATAGAATAGACACTCAAACATCTTTATTGGGACAATGAATATTTATAAATTTTTGATGTCAACATCAAAAGGCATGGATGAGATTAGAATAAGTCCTAAAACAATGTCTATTCTCGCAGAAGATGCATGATCTAGGAAGTGGTAGATTGCTCTACCACTGCACCAATAAAGATACTGTGCTCTCTATACCCTTATATGAATTAACAGTCTATAGATATGTCTCTTATCTTAACTCCTTCTCACAATCCAAACTCGGAGAACTTATAAAGTAAATAAATTTAACCTCTCCTTTATATCACTGATAAGGAATACTGAGATTTCTGGCCAATAAACGACCAAGGCAATTTCTTGAGCTTTTGCTCATTCTGTATTTGTTGATTTTCTTAGTCCTGGATATTTAGCTGTTTTCCTTTCATTTAATGCTCATCTATTTTATTCACACTTATTTAACCCAGTGTCACAGATGGAGCCCAGCATCACCAGCTCCCCCTTTCTTACTGCTGATGTAAAAATAGTTCCTTGATTCTAATAGTCTTTGAATGTAGGTGACAAAAAAATTTCAATCACCAGGTGCCAGGTGTTCTTTTATTGGGAAACCCTTCTCTTGTGTAAGCTGTTCTGCCTTTAGATGAATTATTTTAAAATATAACTATTCTTATCAGCTCTATCATTGCTATGTAGTTGTACTTTAGAAGAGTTTCATAAGAAAGGAATGTCTGTCATTATTCACCTTGGAAGGGAAGTTGCAAACACTAATGCTTTCAGAGCCAGACAGGCAGTGTAAATGTATGAAGTGCCAGGTGCAGGATAGTAGAAAGTGATAGAGTTAATGAAACCTGGACAAGGAGCCTACACTCTGCCCGACTTCCTGCATGCATCACGTGTGTGTGTGTGTGTGTGTGTGTGTGTGTGTGTGTAAGACACTGTGAAGGTCAAGTAAAATACTATCAGAAAGATTCATGTCACAGGCCACAGGCTCCTGGTTTGCTGCTCTGAATTTCTTGAGGACCAACCATGAAAACTATTTTAGGTGCATTAGATCTATGCAATAGAGAAGGTACTTGTCATTAGCCCACTTTTCTCAGGTGAATAATCTAAGGTTTTAGTGAGATGAAGTGACTTGTCCAAGGCCTATGCACTGACCTCCCCACTCCCTCAGGCCCCAGTACCAGGAAGACATAGGACAAGCCTGACTTCAAAACCTGTGATTTTGACACTTTGTTCAGCTTTCAAAATCAGTGAGATTCAGGCATTACTTCAGTGGTAGAAACTGTCCTAAAAATGCAGCTACAATATAATGGCCCCCTAAATGATCAGTCCCAATAAGCACATACTTAAAAAGGTATCATTTACTCACACTCATAGCCCCAGACTTAGCTTTTATTTTCCTGAATAATAATGCATTCTTGAACTGTGGTCACACAAAATCTACTAGATTGCAAATATTTTAGTAGAAAAAAATTAAGGTGATTTATCTTGCTACCTCTGCTAGCACAGTATGATTTACATATTGAATAAACAATAAATGGTTATCAAATTAAGAAAAAATTCTATAATAAGAAAAACTAACCATATAATTAAAACTGAAGTGTATTTTGCTTTGCATGTGAGAACAATCAAATATATCTGAAATGAATTATTTTAGTATGCTTCATTAATGCTTTCAAATATAGTTTTGTAATTCTTCTTTGTCAAGAAATAAGTCTATCGAAATTTATTTTGATTTGAAGTTTAGTTTTAGTTGCTTAACAAATTGATTGTGACCTACTAGAGTAGGGGGACTGGATCAAGGCATAGCACACATTCGGAAAGCACAAACTGCATTGTCCTTAGTGTTGGGAAAGTGTTTTTAAGAGCATCTATTATTGGATATCTTCAGGTGTTTGATCCAAAAGCACAGTCTGAAAGTTCAGCTAAAACCTATTTTTCCTGCAATGTTTGAAAATACAATGGTCAGAACAAATCAAGAAATCTACTAATATGCGAAAGAGTAGGGAAGTTATCTGTTAAAGCCTTAGTTCTCGAAAGTAAAAAAACAGGAAAAAAAAAGTAAACATAACAGAAGTTTAGCTCTCCACTTTTTAATCAGAGGGCTACTAATCAGGCATTGAATATAATATCACATTAAATATGTTGATATGCAAAGAGTTAGAATTTTTTGTGAAGTCTTTAAATTATATTTTATTTTACAAATAAAATCAGCTTACCTTTCCAACTTCTTATAAAAGCTCTTCAAAAGGTTGCTAAGTGATTAAATAAATTTTGTATTTTCTATTATCTGAAATATGGAATTGTATTCTTCACTTTACTAGAATACAATTCTAGGAGTTATATTTATTTGATATAATAAAATTCAGTTTATAAATAAACTTCAGGTCAAGAGATAATTGAATCTTTCATCTGTTTTTCTCCTTTTTTAGATAGCGTTTTCAGGGATGAAGAAAAGCTTTCTTTTTTAGAAATTCCAAGTGACACACAGGGAAAAGATATTTCTTGAACTTGTAAATTCAAAATTTATTTTTGTCAACACAGCCTACAGCTAAAAATTGAATCTCCCACATGAATCATTGACCCAAAATGTAAAACCAAAGTCACATACAATGATTCCTGCATTTAATGTGTGGCACAGCCATATCAGTTAATTGTAGGCATAATACCAATTAATAATAAAAGTTAGGCATTATTTATTAAGTGTGTTTTCTTCATGAGACACCATGCAAAGTATTTCAACATCACAGCAAACATACTACAACAACGTTTTATGGTAAGTGCCAATATCCCACCCCCACCCCCCAAAAAAGGAGGTTAAGCAATATTGCAATATTTACCTGATAACAAAGGTAAAATGCATCAAAAACTAGGATTTGCAGCAAGTATGTACTACTTGAGGATCCATGTTCTGAAGAAACATATCTATGCCTTTTACTAAATTTATTGCCATTAAATTTAGTGCAAATTTTATAGGTGCACTCTAGTTTCAGAATTTTCTCTTTGAGCTAAAACATTAGCAAGATATCCCAGAGTTCTGGATGAAAATGAAATTAACAGGATGCAATATTATATGTGCTCTGAAGAGATACCCTGCCATCATTAGACTAAAATTATATAAAAATAGTCAAAATTTAAAATAAAAGTTTTGCAAATAGTAACTGTTGTTTGGGATGGCTAAAATATAGGGTTGTGTACCTAATGTCAAAAAATATAATCTGGATTTTTTTTGCAAAATTGATGGATTACTTGGATTTTATACATTTGAACTTAATATTCACATAATTAAACAAGCAGTCTTTAATTGGGCCTTGAAGGTCAGCGGAACTGAGCTAAGCAAAGAAGTCAACAAGAATGAATTTCAGGTGGAAATGAAATCACAGAGTTTATTAGTTTCCTGAGGCTGTGGTAACAATTAGCATAAACTGGGTGGCTTAAAGCAACAGTAATTCATTTTCTCACAGTTTTGGAGACTATAAGTTCAATATCAGTAGGGCCATATTACCTCTGAAGGCTCTATCTAGAGAAGAATCTTTATTTGCCACTTCTAGCCTGGTGGTTGCTGAGATTCCTTGGTGTTCTTAGCTGGTCATAGTGTAACTACAATCTCTGCCTCCTTCTGAAGACTGCCCTTTTCTCTGTATGTCTCTGTGTCCCCAGATCTCCCTCTTCTTATTAGAACACAAGTCATTGGATTTAAGGCCCACACTAATGCTGTATGACTTCATCTTAACTTGATTACTTCTGCAAAACCTTATTTACAAATAACGTCAAATTCACAGGTCCTTGGTGGACATGAATTTAGGGGGGCTAATGAGGGGAACATGATTCATTCCAGTACATAGAGCTAGAGATGTGTCAGGTCATAAAGCTACTTCTTTTCTAGACTTTGTAGCTCAGATTTTACATAAAAGATGGAGTACAATATGCTCACACTGGCATTTAGAAATATCTCTTGGTCAGTAGGGTGGAGAATCAGTAAGCGGGAAAAAAAAAGACCAATAGCAAGATGACAGGTTAGGCTATTAAAGTGAGAATATTATGCTCAGTAAAATAAGCCAATCAGAGAAAGATAAATATCATATGATCTCACTTATATGTGGAATCTAAGGAACAAAAAAACTGATGAACAGAATAGATCCAGAGACATTGGAGCATGTAACACACTGACAAATCTCAGAGGGAAAGGGTGGGGGGAGGATGGTGGGAAGAGATTAACCAAAGAATTTATATGCATATATGCATAACCCATGGACAGACAATAGTGCAGTGAAGGTTTGGGGAGTGGGCTGGGCAGGAGTGGGGTAGAGGGAGTCAATGGGGAGCAAAAAGGGAGACATCTGTAATACTTTCAACAAAGACACATTCAATTAATTAATTAACCAACTAATTAATTAAAGTGAGAGTTAGGGTGGAGAAATTTTCAAGAATGATCCTAAAATCCTAGGGAGATTGGTGTCATTCCATAGCCAAGTAATACAAGAAGAGCTGATTTGTGGGTAGGCAGGGTGACTAAGGACAACATGAGTTTCATGGTAGATATGTATGTTCGCCATTGCATTCTCAGAGAAAGACAGCTTTCGGTTAACCCAAGATATAAGAAGAATTCAGACTGGTAATTTGGGAAAACTCACATGAAATCTTACATTCCTCTCGTGAAAGGAAATAAATTTATATTTACTTCAATAAAGCAATGGTTTTCATGGCTTAGTCTTTTATTTAAATAACAAGACAATAAGTTACACTGTCTGAGAATCTGATTTGAATTTTTTTTATTATTTTAATTGTAGGCCATGGCACAGAAGGAAGATATGGAAGAAAGGATCACAACCCTTGAGAAGCGTTACCTCAGTGCTCAGAGAGAATCTACCTCCATACATGATATGAATGATAAACTAGAAAATGAGTTAGCAAATAAAGAGGCCATCCTCCGGCAGGTTCAGTATCTCTGTGTTGTTTTTGTTCTGGTCCATGTGTGTGTTCTCACCATTCTCACAAAATGTTGAGTAAATTAAATATGTTATTTCTTCACAATCAATCATTCTCTAAAATTTAGAATGGTGTGAACTAAACATGTGGTTTTCAGTAGGTAATTTAGAAATTGTTCTTAATAATAATAAAAATAATGACTAAAATTTACTTTGGATCTAAACATGAACCAGAAACTGTGCTAAGTAGTTTACATGTATTACCTCACTTAAATCTAACCACCACCTGTGAAGTAAGCACAGTTATTATTCCGCCGACAGTAAGGTTCAGCGACATGAACATTTTCTCAAGGTCACACATCTGGTAGTTGCCAGAGTCTGTAATGGAAACTAGTCTACTTCACTCCAGAGCAGGAGTGGGCAAACTATAGTCTCTGAGACAAAACTATGGCTCTGCTTTGTAAATAAAGTTTTATTGAAACATAGTCATACCCATTATTTAATCATTGTCTATGACTGCTTTTGTGCTACAACAGTAGAATCAAAATGTTAGAACAGAAACTATATGGGACACAAAGTCTGAGATATTTACTACCTGGCCCTTCACAGAAAAATGTTTGCCAATCCCATCTTTTGAGCCTAACCATTATAGTACATTACCTCTCCCTCTCCAGACAATACTCTGACTTTCAATATTATGCTAATATGGTACATCAGAAGTGTAAGTACTGACTTGTATTCCATTTGTCCAAGTATATATTCACTGTTAACTTCTTTTCTTTTTGCTGCCATTGGTAAGAGCTTTTCTAAATTTTTTTAATGTGCTCAATTTTATTAAGGAATGTGGATAAGTAATATATAAAAAAACACGAGGGCAATGATCTTTTTGCACGGTAAGTGTGGCAGCTAATTTTAAATCTATGATAATGGCTGAAGTCCAAGCCCCCTAGTGAATGGGGTCTGCTATACTAACTGTGATCCTTTAAGTGTCTCTTTCACACCCCTGTTTCAGATGGAAGAGAAGAACAGACAGTTACAGGAACGACTTGAACTCGCGGAGCAGAAGTTGCAGCAGACTATGAGAAAAGCTGAGACCTTACCTGAAGTAGAGGCTGAGCTGGCTCAGAGAATTGCAGCCCTGACAAAGGTACTGCAATATAACACTTGGTCAGCTTAGATGTGCTCACATAAATGACTGGTAATCAAAATGAACCTGTAAAGATTTTCTTTAGTCTTTATGAAAATTAAGTTCATCTAATATTTATTACATTGGTTTCATATTTAGGTGAATTTTTCAAACTATGTATATCTTATTTATGCTGACATGAATGATTAACATATGATGTTAAACTGCAATATAACACTTGGTCAGCTTAGATGTGCTCACATAAATGACTGGTAATCAAAATGAACCTGTAAAGATTTTCTTTAGTCTTTATGAAAATTAAGTTCATCTAATATTTATTACATTGGTTTCATATTTAGGTGAATTTTTCAAACTATGTATATCTTATTTATGCTGACATGAATGATTAACATATGACTGTGATGATTCCCTTGCCTACTTAAACATTAACAAAAATAAAATTTTATGTCCTTATATTAATTTTCCATGGCAATATTTGCACATCAGAATAATTGCAATATAAACACATAATGATATTTAATATGTATATACATGAGACATATTTTAATATGCTAAACATAAATTGGTACAATAAATATAGGAAATATCATAGCAGTTGATTCATTTCTGACTATAGTAGAAAAGAATTTTTAGAATTTGGAAGTTAGATTTATAGCAGTCTAAGGTCTCCAGCCATTAAGTAGTCAGAGAGTGGTTTTAGTGGATACAATTTCTTCCGAACCAATTAAAATCCATAGTATTATATCACACATTTGAGTGAAATCATATGGTTCTTTACTTTTTCTGACTGACTTATCTCACTTAGCATAATATTCTTAAGTTCTATTCATGTTGTTGCAAATGGCAGTATTTTATCCTTTCTTATGGCTGACTAGTATTCCATTGTGTATATGTAACACATCTTCTTTATCCAGTGAATAATGCTTCAATGAACATAGGGGTGCATATATCTTTGCAAATAGATATTTTCGAGTTTTTCAGGTATATCTCCAGGAAAGGGATTGCTGGGTTGTGTGGTAGCTCTATTCTTAATTTTTTAAGGAATTGCCATACTACTTTCCATAGTAATTGTACCACTCTAAATTCCCACCAGCAGTGAATGAGGGTTCTCGTCTTTCCACACCCTCTCCAACACTTGTTCTTGCTTGTCTTATTGATAATGGCCACTCTAACAGGTGTGAGGTGGTATCTCATTGTAGTTGTGATTTGTCAGAGGGAGGGTGATGGGGGAAGAAGGGAGTTATGGTGACAAGAGAAGATTTGACTTTGGGTGGTGGGCACAGGGTGCAATATCTAGATCTTGTAAAATAGTAACTCATACCTGGGACCTATATGATCATGTCAACCAATGTCACCCCAATAAATTTAATTTAAAAGATATAAATAAAAGATAAATATTAAAAAGTAAAATAAAAGAAGGGAGTTATGGTGACAAGAGAAGATTTGACTTTGGGTGGTGGGCACAGGGTGCAATATCTAGATCTTGTAAAATAGTAACTCATACCTGGGACCTATATGATCATGTCAACCAATGTCACCCCAATAAATTTAATTTAAAAATATAAATAAAAGATAAATATTTAAAAATAAAATAAAATCTATAGTATTCTGAAGAATGTTCAATATTATCTACCAAGTTATAGCCATTAGATTCTGTAATTATCTGCATATTTTAGAATTCTGCAACCATTATAATGTTTAAAAAAACTACCCTTACCTTTCACTATCAAACGGAGATGACATTGCTTCAAAATATATATACATATCACTAAAATAAAAGTCCATATTTTTTACTAAAAGCATGTTTGACTTTTAATATCCATTGAAAATATACACATATTTTAGCTGTTCACACAATCATTACTGTGTGCTAAGTTGTCTCCTCCACTGCAAGTAAGTGGGTAAACTACAAGTTACAAATTCTGTCATTAGGGATTATTCAAAGCAATTGATGTGGCAATATAAGAGTAGGCACACATATTTGATTTCCTGCAAAAGTAAATAATTAAAGAGGAACAGTAAGCTGACACCTATTAATTAAAATAGGGAAGTCAATCGGGTAGAAAAAAAGCAAATGTTTGGCAATGAATTTCAGGGTTAGGAAATATTGGAATAGTTGGTTATCTATAGAGTATTTGAGTAACTAGCTGAACTAAACATTAGGTGATTAGGGTTATGTTACAATCTGGATCCTTCCATAGTCACGTACCATGCCATAAATTCCTGTGGCAATTCCAGAAATGTGTGATTTCTGATATAAAGATAAGTTTAACATTTAATTTAAATATCTTTTCTAAATTATATCAAAATGTGCAAATATATTAATAGCATTCTATTTTTTCTTGTGAAGATATTTTCAATTACTATATTATGGATTGAGATATGTACAATTAGTCTTCTTATCTGAGGAACCCAAAAAACTTTTATAAAGAGTTATTTTATTGAATTGAATTATGTTAGTGGCAATTTGGTGGCTAAATAATAAAAAATAACTTTTGTAAAATTTTAGTGTAAAATAATCATCAATATTATCCTGCATAAAATACAAGAAAGTTTGGAATCTCTTCCAATCAAACACAATTTAAAATTCAACATAAAAATGCCCCAAATTTAACCTCTGATAGACTGAAAATAAAACATAATTTAAAAGGCAATATTTTACATATGAAAATTTACATTAAATATTCATGAGCATTCTTAATTTAGAATAGTTTTTAACTTGAAATATGTGTCTCGCCTTTTTTGCCTTTCATTTTATTCTCTTGGGCTCTTACTTTGATACATATATTCACTTGTGTACCCAAATTATTTCCTCAGTTTACTCCGACCTCATAATATATTGCTGAAATTTCATTTCTTCTGGACCCTTTTGATTTCTTCTTTTTACAGTAGAGTTTTATTCTTCTGAAAAAGTGTTAAAAATGCTAGAATTTACTCTGCTTCTCCTTCTCACTGATTTCTCTTCTGGCTAACTCTATATCAACAACATTTCAGATATACCATTTTCAGATGATTGCTGCATTTAATCCATCATACATGCTCCTCTAGTGCTGAGATTTTTATCAAAACACTTCCTCTGCAACATTTTTATAATATTTGAAGATCATTCTTTCATATGTTCCCCCAAGATTTATGGCCACAACAATCATACTTTTTCTTGCCTTCTGTTCTCAAGACCATTAGGGAACATCTCTAGAATTTGCTTTATTTATTTATTTTTTGAATTTCAATTTGTTTTTATTATCTCACTATTATTGATCATCATAGTCTTTTTCTAGTTCTTAATATTTTTGACTATTCACAAAAATAAAATATTTTTGCCTATTTTAAACCTAGGCTCCTCGCTCCTATATTTTGAATGGTATTCTTAACAATCCCACAGACATTTTATTTGGCCTATATATTTTTCTACTTTTATTATTAGCTGCCTATTTTTTTCCCTTCTCTTTGGTTCCCCGCTCTGTAACTTTCGCTTCTTCTCCATTTCCAAATATATCCACACTCTTCCCAAAACTGCTTCTGCCTGTGTGATTTTTTTTCCTGAATCTTTAGCTCATTTGGAACTGTCCTGTCCCACATTAAAGAGTGAACAGAAGATAAATTCTATATCCCATCAAGGAATGTAAAAAATAGCAGATTGTTCTTATGTGATACTGGTGTTCACAACAATTGCTTAAGCTGCAGTCTTTACAAGGCTAAGGTGAACATAAATCAACAGTGGTTGAAGTTGATCCCAGTGTCTGTTCAGAAATGATGTCTGAATTTATTCTTTGGTTGGTAGGGGTATCTTTCCGTGTGTGTATCCACACTCTTCCCAAAACTGCTTCTGCCTGTGTGATTTTTTTTCCTGAATCTTTAGCTCATTTGGAACTGTCCTGTCCCACATTAAAGAGTGAACAGAAGATAAATTCTATATCCCATCAAGGAATGTAAAAAATAGCAGATTGTTCTTATGTGATACTGGTGTTCACAACAATTGCTTAAGCTGCAGTCTTTACAAGACTAAGGTGAACATAAATCAACAGTGGTTGAAGTTGATCCCAGTGTCTGTTCAGAAATGATGTCTGAATTTATTCTTTGGTTGGTAGGGGTATCTTTCTTTCCGTGTGTGTGTGTGTGTGTGTGTGTGTGTGTGTGTGTGTGTGTGTGTAGGAGGTAAACCTCATTTAAGATTTTTAGAAAATCAGAAGTATAACTTTGGAGAAAACTTAAAATTTGGCTTTTGTGAGTATAAACACAATTAACTAATAAATACTTTTGGCTCCCAATCTTGTTATTTGTGATGTTTACTTCTTTAATTACAATCCATATTCCTTCATCAAGGGGTATTTTATTCATTTTTAGTACAAGTAAAAAGATCAGCAATGACATAGATATATAAACATGACAGAATTCTCATTCATTCTCTGAAGTGAATTTTGACAATGTTTTGGTGTATTTTCATTATTTAAGATAGAAACAGGTAGAAGTTTTAAGTACCTTGAAAGACCTACCAGACTTGTGTTTTTGAAGATACAGTTTTGGAAGTTGAAATGTTCATGTCTTGACTATCTTGAATCAGTCCCCTGATTAATTTTCATACCACTGTCTGTTAAATTATATTTTTAAAAATTACAAATACCTTTATGAATTTAGATTATATAATTTCAATAACATTTTGACCCACTAACTGTATTCTTGATTTAATTCTAAGTTTTAAATGCTATTATAAAATCATTTGTGACATTTGGAGACTATGATAGCTTTCTGTGTTGCTTCTGCTTAGAATTTGAAGAGAAAATTTGGTTAATGTTATTTCTTCATTATTTCTCATATTTATGAAATAAGGGTATCAGAAGGAAAATTAAAAACTATAAATGTTGAACTATAACTTGTGTAAGCACTCCAGTTAAATGTTAAATGTTATTTGATAGATTAAGTTGCAATTTATTATACACAATAGTACATATGCATGTGAACCAATACATGAATAGGTGACTATTTGTTTTCAGATACTGAATGATATATTTATATATAGTCCTATATTTGCATACAGTAAGTTTCACTGTTTTAGAATAAATATATAAATGTAATAGAATATGGTCTAGAGTTGAATTTTGTTGTCCTGACATAGGTTACTTTTAATGTTATAATTACTTAAGAAGTTGTAATTATCATGAACATGTTGATGTAACTTTACGTGTAACCTGTGTATAACATACTAATACAATTCAGCTATCAGCAATGTCACATGTGTTCAATAGTCTGCGTCTGTGGTAACCTGGCAATCACCTCTAAGACATGTAACTAACCTTGGCACTGGGGAAACTTTAGCTCACAAAGGCAAGATGCTGCCTATATACATTAGGGCACTATTTTGTTTCCATAGCAACAAATCAATGCAGAAACAGTTTTGGAGTGGTCACTAGTGCCATTCAGGAGAGTTCACAAATAATTTTTCTTGTCCTCGCAGTATTATTGTCACCTCGATAATTTGAGAACTTCATAATACTCATTTAAAAGTTCAAATTAAGACTATCCCTGAGGACACACAGACATAATGTGTATTTCGAGAACACAAGTCATTTTGCTGCTGTTGCTGAGGAAACCCAATCCTGCTTGAATTGATTATACTACTAATAATTAACCCTATGGCTTAGCTTTTCTCTGATTTCTACAGAGTTGAGCTTATAACAAATTTTATTCCAAATTTATTTCATCAGAGTGATTGCCTTAGCATATTCCTCAACATTGAGACACATTGTTTCCATTTTTAAGTAATACGATAAACAAACAAGCAAACCAAAATACCAAACTTTTAACAATCTATCGAGATATATTCTAGTGTTTGGTTTCTCATAATTCCAATTATTACATGACTCTTTCGGAGTTGCTTTAATTCATTCTGTAGTAGTCTGTCATCGCCAGCCATCACTAACCTTCCATACCTTAGGTTGGTAGCTTTTTATTTGAACATACCATTGTTTTTCAATTATAACCATCAACTGCATTACGTTCACCTGATACCAGTGTAGATCTTTCCACATAAAGTTCTGTCTATTAAAATAGTAAATTTGCCGTCACGCTTTTCTTTTAAGCATTCTGTGCTGTGTTCTGTTCGGTGTCAGTGTCTTTAGTTCTGATTTTTCTATTTTGTCCCTCTCCTTTTCCTTGACTTGTTAGTCTGATCCAACCTCTTCTACCTCATCTGATGATTATCAATATGTTATGGAAGCTAAACTACAAGAAATGATCTCCATACGTAGGAAGGTAGTCCTACTGGACTTTACTTTCTATTGCTAAATAGAATCCATCTAAGTTTTTCTTTTCATTTATTAAAATTATGTTACTTTTATTTATTGATAATCGACCATCTGTGCAGTTCAGTGCTTCAGGAGCTTAAGATTGGACAATGGCAGGTTTGTGTTCAAACCATGCACAGTCTGCATGTTACATTTGGCTGATTTCATTGCTCATAAATAACTCCAATGTTTTGCTGATGCTTGGATGTAACAGGCCTTTGTAGCTGACACATTTCAAGCAATGCTGTTCAGCTGCCTGTTTAACGAAAGTTTATTTTTGAAAACTACATTTGCGGTTGGTAGTAGCTTGCTTTACATTTTATTTCAGTTTATTTAGAGGAAATGTGTTCATCAAGTCTTACATGTCAGGTGCATTCTTCATATTTCTTAACAGGCTGAAGAGAGACATGGAAATATTGAAGAACGTATGAGACATCTGGAAGGTCAACTTGAAGAGAAAAATCAAGAACTTCAAAGAGTATGTCTATTAAGCACCTCTACCTCAATGATCAGTTTATGGATTTATATTCTACATACAAAAAAATGAACGTTTTTCGTGATCATGGGTTGTATTTAAAAAGTTATGGATTTGCCGTGTGCACTTTAAAAAAATTAAGTTTCTAACAATTTGATCAAAATCAATATAAAATTAAATCCATTTTTAAAACTACAGAAAATGTAAAAATAAACCCAGAGACTTATTTAATGATTTTATGTCAAATTTATTTATTTTTTTCTTGCATGTAAGGCTAGGCAAAGAGAGAAAATGAATGAGGAGCACAACAAAAGGTTATCCGACACCGTGGACAGACTTCTGACTGAGTCCAATGAACGCTTACAGCTACACTTAAAGGAGAGAATGGCTGCTCTAGAGGAGAAGGTAACATGGCAGTAGAGTGGAATCACGTGAACATTTCACAGAGTTCTTGTGCTCACGTTTGTTTTGTACCAGCTGGAGTCATTACATTGATCAGATGATTCATTGACTTTCCTTAATTAAAAAAAAGAATGTTCTTAGAAGAGAATGAACAGTTTCTGTAAAAATGTATAAAATCAATTTTTATTTATTTTAATTTTTTATTTCTTTTTTATAAGATCGATTTTTTAAATGAATAAAAATTATTTATAGTATATAAATTTTGCATATTAATGTGATCATCTGAGACAATTGTGTTAAATGTGCTGCACTTTTGTGTTAAAAATATTTCATTTGTCCTTTGGTATGCAAGGAAGAAGAGTGATAAGACAAAAATAAATACGTTGGGGGTGTGCAAGGAAGCTTGTTTTGAATTATTCAAATGTTTTAAGTAACTGAATCTATCACTGGTCTAAAAGCCAGACTGTGGGTGAGCTTAATGTCAATCTCAGTACAGAATTTAGGCTTGCAATATATCTAGCTACATTGTTTTTTTAAAAATGCTTCTGTACAGTCTGCAATTTCATTCACATTTACATATGTCTCATTGACAGCAGGCAGCTTCCAAACCAGCAAGAGTTATATGAGCTGGTTTCCAATTCCAAGGCATAAACAAAAGTAGAGGATAAAACCTAGGTGCACAAATCATTTTGGAAATTTAGATTGAATGCCAGCACTACTTAAGCTAGACATTTTCCCCTGCATCATCCAATAAACCAAAATAGAAAAAATAGGTTTCGATAAAATGTTAAAGTATTTTGATTAATTTACCCATTAGGGAGTCATAAGGCATGACTTCTTCCCATTCAACTCCAAATGCATGGACTATGCCAATTACTACACTCTTGGTTTAATTGAACTCTGTAAACTTGAAAACCATACATGGTTTTAAATCACTCTTTGTAGTACTATAAGAACATTATAAAGCTTATAACACTAATACTTTTATAGCAAGGATTTTTTAAAAATATCTATAATGCAACTTATGTTCACATGTTATGATGTGTAACATCAGTTTTTTAAATCACTAAAATTTTGCTCTATTTCTCTAAAAAAGTAACTATCACAGAAATTGATAATTCTGCATTTGAAATAGAATTCTAGAAATTGAACATTTAAAAAATGGACTGGGAGGAGTGGGGGAAAGGTGGGAAAATGGGAGATATCTGTAATACTATCTATATTATAAAAACCCAGTGGCCCTAATGCCGTAACAACCAAAGACCAGCGTGGGTGGGTGGGACTTTGAGCAAGGTGGGGCGGCAGGCAGGCGGGCGGGGCTTTAAATAAATAAATAAAAATATGATCTTATCTTTGCTTGTTTTTTCAGATAATAAAAATAATCTGAATTCTTTATCAACAATACCTCTGGACAATATTGACCTTTTTCTTATTTGAAGAGTAACCTAATTATTTCAAATTTTACAGTGACTGAGAGGATGCACACAAAAATATAAAGATAATATTCAGTCCATTTGTCCATTCAAATGTTACAAAGTATCCCATTTAAAGTTGTATTTCTCAAAATGTTAAGGTGTAATGTCTAAAGGTTCCATTGAAACTTGGTTTTCAAGGAAATCAATAAATAAATGCAGAAAAAATTGATGAAGAAGGTTCTTGAGTGATAAAAATAGTTTATATATTTAATTATTTTCTGTTTAGTTTGTTAATTATTTCTGTTTTTCTTTCCTCTTCTGTAGAATGTTTTAATTCAAGAATCAGAAACTTTCAGAAAGAATCTAGAAGAATCTCTACATGATAAGGTATTATGGAAACTTACATTTTGCCTATTTTTCTATTTCACATTGGTGAACGTTTTATAAAATAAATTTCAACAGAAATAATTTTAAGATGCCTTCTTTTTAAAACAATTTTAAATTTTATAATATACATACAAAGAGATTATATATATTGGGAGAGCTTGATGAATTTTTACAAACTAAACACACTAAAAATCATCATTCTGGAAGCCCCCCTCTCATTAACATATAATCACTACTCAAATACTAAAGGGTAATCACTATCTTGACTTCTTAAAGAAAAACATTAATTTTTGACTTATTTGTGCTTTATATAAATGGAGTAAAAATGTATACATTAATTTGTGTCTAATTTGGGATATCATTTTAGAAGAAATATATTAAATACCTATTATGCATATGAATTATAAGTTATATATTTTCAATCATGAGTCTAGTTCCAAAGTAGCTGAAAATTTTAATTGAGGAAAGAGAACACACCTTTGACAAAGCAATGGGTTGCAAATTAGCAGATGCTGAGTGTCAAATTAGTGAAATAGACAATAATAACTACAGGCAGGAAAGATCACCATACATTCCTGCTATAAAGAAGTCTTCAGGGAAGTGGGACTTGACTAAAACTTTAAGAAAAGGTAGGACTGTGTTGCAAGCCTTTTGAATACAGAACATGTAGCATGATTGCAGGTGCTTGGTGGGGGAGGGTGTGAGAAGTGAATTTTATTTCTTAAATAATAATAGGCATATGGTTCAGCTGGAATCATTACTCCAGTTGTAAGATATGTGGCAGAAGAGGAAGATCAGGGCCACATTATGAAATGTTTTAAAAATTGTGATTGCTAATATATCTTTGGTCTCCTTCATTAGCCTGTAAAATTCTTGTTAGCAATTTTGTCCTAATTTTATTTTATTATTTGGCAGAAGCAAATGAATAGTGTAAAATTACTAACTTTTGAAATGACCTATAAATGTGTATTGAACAAAAGATGGAAGGATAGAAAGAGAGAAGGGAGAGAGAGAGAGAGAGAGAGAGAGAGAGAGAGAGAAAGAGGAAGTGAAGGAAATGAGGAGGAAGGACGGACAAAAGTATGGCATAAGAAAGGTATTTTAAAACTTAAAAGAATAAAGATAATAGTGAACAAAGAGATTAACCAGTGAATTTATGTACATACTAGAAGCCCAGTGCATGACATTCGTGCATTGGGCAGGGGTGGGGAGGGGCGGGGCGTTCCTCAGCCCGGCCTGTGCCCTTTCACAGTCCAGGAGGAGAGGGTGGACGGGGGGAAGTAAATGGGGAAAAAGGAGACCTATGTAATACTATATGTAATACTTAAAAAAAAAAAAAACTTTTCGGTCTCACAGTCTGTGTACACAATCTCCGAAAAGATAGATCTACTAGAGCAGTATAATATGATGCTTAGAATATAACATCAGATTCTCTTTGAAGTAGTTGAGAATGTCTACATGGGGAGAGATGACATTTCTTCAGGCAGATATATCCTTATATAGAGAAGGGTAGGACAGAGAAGAGAGCCTATGTAGTAGCATAGAGAAAACAAAGATGGTTGATTTGCTGTATCATCAGAAGTTTGCTGAGACTGGTATGTGTGTAAAAATAACTAGATTTTGACCAGATTGTAAATTTTGGACTTGATCCTGTTATGCAGTATTATGTTATTCAAAACTCTGTGTGTTCCTGGCAAGATATCCAGAACCTACTCCCTCACCACCACCCTACCCAAGCCTTGTAGCATCAGCAATCTGCCTAAGCAACCAGCAGTACTAATCACTCCATGCTTCCCATCCTTGTTCATGTCAATTGCCAGAAGAAGCAAATTCATGTCATACTTCATTTCTGAATATCATCTCATACAGCCAAGCATATTTCCTAATCTAACCATATTTCCTATAACTACTGAAATTTCACTCATCTACACTAATAAAAGAGAAACATGGTAATTGGCGTACGACCGCTACCCTTCCCATTGGCTAATCAGTGAGTATATGCAAATTAACTGTCAGCCAAGATGGCGGCCGGCAGCCAGGCACTGAAGC